AGCCATGAGGCGCTCGTCCACGTACTCCGTGGTGTACTGGGAGGATTTGCACAGCGTCTCCTCCACAGCGATTCCGACGCCATGCGTACCACCCTTGTCCGTGCCACAGGTGAACACCCGAAAACCGGATGCTGCGAACTCCGTTCGCCCTGGTCTCCTGACCTCCTGCAGACCGACAAACGAAATGCCCTGTTTCGCTGCCTCGTGTAAGACGCTGTCGGCTCTCCCATAGCCGTTGGCCCCGTTCACGGCCAGTGTACGCACATTGTAGGTTGCTACCCTAACAAGTCGACCCTGCCGCCTCTGCCGGGCGGTGCGTGCTGCATCCCTAATCAGCCTACGCACCTTCCGGCCCCTCCTCCTCTTCTTCCTTCCTTGTACGCCTATCAAATTCGTCCAGCAATAATAAATTGCAACACCCAAGCGGCACCGTCAACGCGAGCCAAACACCGCAGCAAGTCGAAACCTTGGAAACAAGGGACTTGCAAACGATTCACAAGACAATCATCTGCTCGTGAATGATAGGAGACACGAGGGCCGTAACCGAAAGAGGTGTAGTCGAGATACGTTACAAAATAATAAGTGACTCTAGAACAATCCATGACGTATGCGACTCGGGTATGTGCGGGTCCCCTCGTTGTAACGTAGCGCGTGTTTTCTCAACACGGCAACGATGAGGAGGGGGAAACAATCATATTCACGATCTGTGTCATACAACCAGGAACCAGGGATATCCTAAATGCAATTCCACTTGGATTCCCTAATTCACTTACGAATGAGCCAGCGACGTCAATTCGAAAATAAAGATGGATTTTCGGCGAACAAAAAGCGGGACAATGTGGACACCAGGATATAGGTATCTTCCTGGTGGTACCATAGTGACGCACATACAACCGTATAGATCCGAGACCCTACGAACGACGTCCCCCAGGTTTTAAGATGTTTACAAAGAAAAGACCCTCCGTTTGCTGTGACCAGCCGAAGGGTGAAAGCGGGCCCCTGAGGCTCACTCTCACCTTTCAACCCAGCAAGGCCGACCAAAGTCAGCCACGCTTGGCAATCCTTTGCCACGTTGCAACAAGAGGAAAAAACGTGCGCCGGTGAACGGTTATTCGCTACTTCAGGGACCTTTACTCAGGAACAGAGAAAGGGTATTGCCAAATTGGGGGGGTGAGATACCCGAAAAATATAGCGGCACAATGCCTCGATGTTATTGCGTCCACAAAACTGAAAATTAAATAAATAACCAGAACAAAAACAAACATCACCCAAACATTACCACTCTATCCAGCACTAATAGTAGTATGCGTAGGGTAGACGAAAATAATGTAGCCGCAATATTTTTTTCCGGTCGAAACTGTGACAAGAGATTTTGATGCCGCTATGTCGGCAATCCCGCTAGTCAGGTTGTTGCTATATCGGGCCACTTCCTGTGTTGAGGTTCGAGTACAGCAGTATTGAGTACCAAGCTTGCCTTCATCGTCTCCCCCCCCCGTCTCCACCTCGTTGTCTATCTGCACCGTTATTTCCTCCCACCTCGCCTGCTGTTTCCCCACTTCAGTTTTCACCACGAGTGCAACCAGCAGTTGGTTTTCTAGCGCCCCCACCGCCGCTGCTACCCTCTTCGCCGAGAGCGGCACCTGTTGATCTTTCTACATGGGCGAAGCCGCGATCGCCGTCACGTCACCGGTGTTTGATATCCTTGTGGTTAATGGGGGTCGACCGCGAACAGCGCCAACCGCGCCACCAGCAGAAAGCAGTCCAAGTCACTACCCGGACGGTGCACACGCCGCTTGAGAGCTTTGAGAACAGGCAGTTTGCCGAGCACCCGCGTAACGGCGTGGCAGCAGAAGAAGCGGGAGTGGCACGCTTGGCAGCAGGATTGCTGTGCCTGGAAAGACAAATACCAGACCAGATTATGAGGGGACTGGAGGAGTTCGCGGACAACGCCGCCCCTTTCAAGGTCGAGGTGCTACGTCCCGGCAGCAGGCGGGGTGACTCTGACGACGCCGACAACGAAGGAGAAGGTTGGCTAGACAAGATAGCAGCAAGCATCGGCAACAGCAGTTCTTCTTCAAACGCTGGTGGAAGAGACAACGAGGGCGAGGAACGGCGATCGGAAAACTTGGCAAGAAGAAGAGTACAAGGCGAAACACTCCAAGATTACGAGAGCCCTCTCAACCTGAATCTGCCGAGCCTACAGCAGCAGCTCGATGTCGAGGCTCAGGCAGCCGTGCGCTGGCTAAAGGCGGACATCAAACGCGTGGCGAGGATTTTCGCCCGAGAGATTTCCGTCCTATCCGACGAGCCTGGCGAAACTTCTCTGCTCGGCGTCGCCACGGAACCGTCGGCGGGGAAGGATGAAAGAACCTTCGACGTGACGGTGAAGCTAGAGTTGTTGAAGCGGGGAAAGTGCCCACGGTTCCATCTTGACAAGGTGAAAAAATAGGGCCCGGTTAGCTCCCGGGGTACATGATGCTGTGCTGGCTTCGATGGAATACGAAACTGTTCCAATCCCTGAAAAAATCGCCATGAAACCCAAGGGTGTGGGCTCTCTACTGCTGTGCATATAGGGAAGGTATCAGGCATTAGGCGGAGGGCAAGTCGGTGTGCTTGGTGTTTCATTAGGACATCTTCAGATCCTCTATTCATTTATTCCCGCACCACCTTAAATGCGATCTTGAGCGTTAACAAGCGAACACTGCGAAAGTTCGGTTTGAGCACCCACGGTGTAGCATCTACTGACCCCTGGACGGGAACTTAGCGATCACTAATATCCGCACGTCTCCGCAAACATCCTTGGGTCGCGAAATTGAACCACCCCATTTAGGCGAACGCAGCAGGAGCGATGGTTACTCTCAAGATATGACTGTAGACACCGCCATGCGATTTTGAAAACGGTCGCCAGCAGTTCTAAAATGCCGCTGATTTTGGAGGTCTATTAGCGCAGGGTTGTGACCCCAGATTAGCTGGTTTCCGCTAGGTTTTTGAGATATTTACCACACGTGTGTTGAAAGCGCTCCGGGGGGCGAGATGTTGATGCTGAAAAGAGTGAAGCTCTCCGTATCTATCCCAGTAAAGCGCGACGAGTAGTATAGGCGACCAACATCAAGGGCTTGGGCGTGTTCTGGGAACTCGTCTACTTTTTTGCGAATCCCTCCGTCCATATTGATGCCGTTCGAGTGGTGGCAAATGGTGAAACGCTTCCGCAACATGATTATTTCGTAGTGAATGGCTGTTCCCTCTGCCGCGTTATCCATTGCCTGTTATCGCAAAGTAATGGTACACATGTGCTCGATTGGTTGTTCTGTTGTCGGCGCCGGCGGTTGATGTTCGACACACCTTGCCTGACGAATGTAGTGCAATGCGACGCACATTGCGTGTCCTCTACTTTTTGCCCGCCCCGAAAATACAACAGGTGCCGATACGACTGATCTGTACGTACGTAGGGCCAAGTACCGAATGGCTCGACGCCTACGACAAATGGGAGATGGAAAACAACAGGAGTATGCCCCCGGCGTGCAACGTGGTGAGATACGGACGCACGCACGCATGCACACGGACCAGAAATAGTGTCTCATTCCTGCCTCTGCCATTACGGATCCCATGCCGTCACTTATTGCTCAACCCCTTTACAACCGAAGTAGAGTCTAATCACGGTTTGTCGGGGTGGGCAGGTTGTTCCAGTCACCAAAGATCAGTCTTTTTATCAAGCTCTCAAGCTCGCAAAAAGGACGGATTTTTCCAGCCTCCTGTCGCTGTTGGCCAATAATCACCGCAAGACGGGTGTTGGTAGGCGACCTGCATTTGGTTTGCTTTGCAGCTAGAGAACTTGACAGCTCCGCAGGTTACCGTGTTTTCCGGAAACGAGCCAGACATGGCCGACCTCATCGTGCGACAAATATAAGCACAGCAGTAGGAGTAGGCGGCAGTCCATTGACTGGCCCGCGCTTCCCCGCTTGCCACACCATGCACTCCCTCTCAATCGTCAGAAAATCAGCGGGGGGCGGGAGGCTCAACGCGCAAGGCCGGGGGATGTCCTTATTTTCAGGGGGAAGCCGCAAGGCGGTTTGACAAAAGGCGGCGGCAGCGGGGCGTTCGCCGTCGCCCACCGATCTCCGGATACCGTCGAAGGCCAGAGGAGACTGCTGCTGACGATGGATGCCGGCGAATTAATTACCAAGGCTCCTGTGTCTCCCGCTTGACGATCCCATGTACATGCACTACATAGTTGTAGGTTGGTTTCCTGTCCCCCGATGGTAAATATTTGTGGCGCGATGTCGATTCCTGTGGATTGATGGTAATTCCCAGGGTTCCCAAGGGCGCCATTTGTACAAAAACTAGAATAGCGAGAATACCATGGAGGGTTTTTCCGGGCAAGTGATTTTTTGCGTCTTCTTGTTCGTCCCATCGACTCTGGGAGCCTGTCTACTGCCTACACCTTTCGGCATTCGTTTTGTGCACCAGCCGAGGTCACACACGAGACCGGTACACTTAGGGTTTTCTTTGTTGGGGAAGATGTCAGTCATGTTGTTGCAGCTATCCATGGGCAGCTTGTTCCCTTCAGTTTGAGCGTGAGAGACATTTTTTGCCGTTGGTCACTCGTGCACGTCGAGTTTGATTTCTCTCCTCTGGTGTTCGGCGTCCCGTAGGTCTTTGGTGTGTAAAAAGGAAAAAAGGAAAATGACGACAAACCACGGAGGCAACAAGTTAGAAGGCGTAGTTGTGGAGCATGTGTACCCGGTCAGGAGCGCAGAGGGATGGCGCATGTAAATGCCGACGAGATGGACATGCGGAACCCCATCTTGTGCCACATGGTCAAAGCGACGCAACAGTGGAAAGCAGCTCGACGATACGTTGAAGGAGGAACCATTATTTTCCGAGGACCTCACGAGAACGACGAAAAATTGAGTTGCCCCCGAAAAATTGGCCAGTCGAAGAGCAGAAGTGGGTTGCAGAATTGCAAATAACGCTTGTCAGGGGATGGCCCCCGGTTGACCCTTCGGGGGAAGCTGAACGATTTCAGTTGTAAATGCGACAGACCATGGTACAACGCCCGATGTGCTTGCTTCTGAGCGGCGGTATAAAAAACAAGGAACAACTTGCAGAAACAAGCGCGACTCAACATAATGATGTCTCGCATTTGGCACACTCACCACACGAAGGTGGAGGATAGCACGGACGAAACAGCCCATGTATCGCAACTACTCTTGCAAGTGAACGTCGGTCTCATGCGCAACGCCGCAGGATGGCCCGCCGATGGTGTTAATATGAACAGTAAAAATTAGTGAGTGTTCGCCATCGCCACAACAAATGTTTGCGGACACTGCCAACCAATAAAACAATTTATGGGCACAACAAGACTCTTGACCTAAAACATCCACCGCCGCCGGGGTTCGTGTTACCCCGCGGAGGCCCAACAAGACAACCCCACACAGCCTTTCAACGGGTTGATACCATGCAGAAAATAACAAGAGGTGGACAATCGACGCTTCAAGTCACTATTTCAACGTCAAGTCACTATTTCAACGTCAACAAGATCTCTCAAAGATCTCTCCAAATAGAACATCTGAGCAAGCGCTTGAAACAAAGCCCTTCAATCGTTCGGCCCGACCAGCCAACTCCCACGCTAAATGACGCAAATCCATGCGAAAAACGCCACGGCCTTCAGAAAAAGCGGAGCTCCGATTAGCCCGGAATTCCACCTATCGCAGAACGTATGAGCTCCTGCAGGGTCGCTGCTCATGGACGCCCCGAAAGCTACAAAGGTTGGGGCACCCACAAACCCATTATGCACATCGTAGTATATGGCGATGGTAAATCAAAGGGGGACAACGCCGTGGTGGTTGCCACAGCTCGTACATATCATCACCAAACAATCGCAGGTGCCGCCATCAAGGATGCAGCCAGAGTGGAGGGGGGCAGGGGGGGGGGGGGAAGCGTACTGCGAAAGCTACCCGTGTGCCCTAGCCGTTGGAGCTGCGTGGTCTCCCATCCAGTGCGCTTTCCGTGCATGCGCACAGCGAGGGCGGTTGAACGAGGCGATTCTGCATCGACTAGTTTCGCAACCTCGACAACAAAAAGCCCCCATCTCTACATTACTGATCAAGGTAAATCCAGCCCGAGAGACACCACGTCGCAAGACAGTGGCATCTCCCCACCGCCTTGAATCCTCAAACCTTTGTTGCCCGCCGCCACTGACACCGCCACGGGAACTCGTGCCCTCCTTCTTGGCCCAACCCCCCCCTGCCCGAACAATGCCGTCCAATGAGCGTAAAATTTTAACCTTCCCGCCCCCCCGCCCCTCGTCATTGGCCTTTGCGTTTCTTGCTCTTCTTCGCTCGTTCCTTCTCCTTGCTGCTGCTCCCGGCGACCGGCGCTGTCTCGCATCCCTCCCCATTCCCCTCGCCCGCTCTGCCGGCCTTCTTCTTCTTGGACTTGCGGGGTGCGCTGGTGGTGGTACTACTTGCCGCCGCTTCTCCCTCCGTCTCTTCGCCTTCCCGTGCGTGATCGACGGGTTGGTCTCTCGGCCTCTTTCCCCCGACAACAGCTGGGGGTTCAGCGGGGGGGGCGGTTTCGTCCATCGATCTCGTGCGCGGCCGGCGCGGCGGCGCGTCGAGCGACGTCGACTTGGATCCCTTGCTCTTCTTGTTGGAGGACTTTTTCTTCGAGATTTTCGGCTCTGTTGCTGCAGCAGCCGCTCCTTCGGTGCCGCAGCCGCCCCGAACTACCGGGTACGAGGGGAGCGAGGGGTCGGCGGTGGTGGCAGCTTGGCCGAGGATGGCTCGCAGTTCCGCGGCGCTGAAGCCCTTGACGTCCTTGGATCGTACGCGTCTCGCCCGCGAGGGACATGAGCTCGCCGCCTGGGCCGCAGTCATAGCAGGCCCACCCTCACTACTGCTGCTGCTGCTGCTTTCGGCGGCATCCTCATCGTCCTTCGCCGTTTGCTTCTTCTTCTTCTTCTCCGCCTTCTTCAGCTTCTTCTTCGTCCTCTTGTCGCCCTTCATCTTCGCCTTGCCGCCGACATCCGCACCGCCGCCGTAGGCCTTCCCGAGTGTCTCCAGCACCCCGTTGAAGCTAACCGCTGCGCTCGCCCAACCCGCGGCTCCCGACGAGTCGCGCGTCGCTCCTAGCCCCAGGTTGTTGGACTTCTTGGCCACCTTGACGTGCTCGGACACACCATCCTCGTTCTTGCCGAGGCCCTTGCCCTCGGTCCACCCCATCTTTTGCATCATCTTGAGCCCGAACTTGCTCTTGTCATTTTTCCACGCCTGGTTCTGGGTGTCCCCCACCCGCGGCGCTGCGGGCGTCATAGTCGGCGCGGTTGGCAGCAGGGTTTCTCAGGAGTGCCAGCAAGGGGCCGTGGCTGTCTGTGCTGCTGTGCGTCCGGTGCGTGTTGGTGTGGCTGGTGGTGACAGTGCGAGCGCGATAATCACGCCGCAGGAGACTAACATAAATCAGGCTGTACCATATGATTCTGCGAGGACCCTTGGTAGAGAAACGGCGGCGTAACCCCAGCGCCAAAGCGCTCGCACTCTACACAGCAGTACACTCTTTTTAGCTGTGTCTTCCTCGCTCATCTTCGAGCGATGGCGGCCTCTCCGTTCGAGGAAGTGGAGGTGATTTGCTTTGCTGCTTGGCACTCTTGTCGTTGTCTGGACTTATCTGGAAGCTATCGGCGTGTCAGGTCCCTATGGCCCCTTCCAAGCAGAAGCGAGCCTCGGTGTCTTGAGTGGCTGGCTGGTTGTAAAAGTTGCTTCCGTCCTCGCGGTATGCTAAAGAGTACCATGTGCCAAAGAATACCCATGAACGCCAATGTCAATTGCCGTCCATATCTTCTAGCGGAATCCTCGTTACAGGAAGTCCCGCGCGCTGTTGTTGCACCCGGCCTGGTGTTGCGTTGCCTGAGCAAAAACCAACACCTCGACCGCACGTTGCCGTGCGGCGCAACTACAGGTCGGCCAGTCTGCCAGTCTGTTTCACCTGCTTTGTCCTCCCGGCGATAGCAACTGATGTGTAAGTCTCACACCTTGCGCCTCATGTGTGTCCACGTCTGCGTTAACCGCAGCTCAAGATGTGTGTGAGCCTGCTGCCGAGCGATATCGGCGACATCTATGCGGGAATCCGCCGCAACATATACCAGTTTCTCATGCGCTACAACGAGGCGCTGGGGGGGGTGTTGCTGGCGGTGTCGAACCTGTCGTTCGGCGACGGGGCGAGAGAGGGCAGGATTGAGGACGAAATGCCGCACATCCACTTCGACGTCAAGGCCAAGGCACAGGTGTTCCGTCCACGGCCTGGCCACGTCTTGCAAGGACGTGTCAACAAGGTAAGGGCGCAGCAGCAATATTTTTTTGAGAGGACGTTCTCTGTCTCCAAAATTTCAGCATCGCGTTTGGCCTTTGAACAGAAGCAGTACAGACCGCAAACTACTCAACTAATGCGTGTGCATTCGTATGTATGCAAGGAAACAGGGCGCCCAGGCGGTCGTTGTTACATCACCACCTTATGCAGCACAGAAAGTGGAACCGAGACACGCAACACCGCCGGCCAACAAAGTTGCATTTCTCCGTGGGGTGGGTTTAGCAAGGGCATCACCTTGAACCCACTTTTTGTCTTGAATGATTTATACCTGCTGTGCCCCCTCATCGTCAGGTTACGAGCACTCACGTAGGGATGCTGGTATGCGGCATATTCAACGCGTCGGTGGCATCGGAATCGATGGGAGAGGGTTTCAGATTCGACATGACCGCTCGAGAATGGCAACGAAGTCGGGGGGGCAAGGATGGAGCGCGCGAGGTCATTGCCGTAGGAGCCGACACGCAGTTTGTCGTTACTAGGTAAGTTGTGCGAGCGGCGGAGTGAGATGTAGAAAATGGCAGAAAACCGGTAGGAGGGAAGGGGGCGAGGGGGGGGGAGTTTGGCACAGTGATTCCTGCGACAAGTGCTGTCGATGCGTTCATGAGAGCACCCCCCCTGTAGTGTTGAGATTTGACTCGTATCTTATGAAAAGCAGACATGTATGTGTACCGGGAGGCCTCCTAATCCGAAAAAAGCCTAACACCTGTGGCATCCTTTGCAATGCCAGCATGCTCTCGCGTTTTGTGACGGGCAAAGAGGGTGCAGGTGTCGGTCATCCCCTCGTATGCTTTGACGCATAACCTTCGCCCGTACAGCGGTCACCACCCCCTCCTGTTCTCTTTAGGTATATATACCTCACTGAAACCAACCTTGACACTGCTGACGGTTGTGTTTGCCATCATCGTGTCATATCCCACTCCAATCGACGCGTGCAGGATGCACGAGGCGGCAGGATTGATATCGATCGAGGGGTCTCTCGAAGGCCTCCCGAAAGCTGACGGGAGCGAGGAGAAGGACGAGCAGCCGAAGGAGGAAGGCGGGGGGGAGGATGCAGTAGCCAACACCAACACCAACACTAACAAGCGCCGAGTGGGGGTGGCGACGGTAGCGGCAGAGGAGGGGGAGGATGAGGCGGCCGCCGCCGCCGCGTCCGCAAAGGCTGCCAGGAAGAAGGCGAAGAAGGCCGCGAAGTTGGCGGCTAAGGCACAGAAGAAGGTTAAAACCGAGTTGTAGCACTCTATGCATAGAACTACAGTCAGATAGAGACATTGCTATGCTGCTGTCGCTGTACCGTTAGGGTGCCGAAGCTTTCTAAGTCGGACTGCATTTGGGGAAGGCGCTGCTTTGTGTTGCTGAAATTTCCTTGTTATGGCCCATGAGAGCATATACGTCGCAATGGGGAATTGGCGTGCTTCAAGAGCAAGACTCGGCCAAGTTCTGGACATCCCCATGCGTATGGTTTGGGAAGAGGTCGTCGTGCGGTGATATATTTTTCGTTGTAGCTCTCACTCGCTCGGGTCTGTTGTATGGCTGCTACGAATGCAGCCAGCTGTTTGGACGTCTGGAAGATGAAGCCACGCGTGGCCTTCCTTCCTTTTTGGGGAGAGGCTCAATCGGTAAATTAAACATTTTTTTGTAGGCAGAACTAGCGAAGGATACCGTACTGATTTAGACCTAAATATGTTATTTGACTTTTTTTGGCGTTTGGGCTACCAGCGAAGTGTACAAGATCTCGTTCGTGTCGAGTTTTGGCCATCCCGGCAGGCACGCAGGCAAGATTTTCGCGGGTGATCGTAAAATATTCCTGGCTTCTTTAGCAAGTGCCTGTTGTTGATGCGGTCCCGGATGCGGACGCGGAGGCGGTAGTGTGCAGGCCCGGCGTTAGTTTCTTGCCATTGCCGTTGGAAAAACCGGTCTCACGAACATGGTACGTTGTATCGTTGGTCTGCACGCCACTGCTACGGTACTGTGCGGCGTGAGCACTGACATGAGAGATGAGCCAGCGCGGCCCAAATGGCTACAGTAGCAACCATGTTTTTGGCGGTTGCGGGTTCTTGTGGTTGCGGCATCCACGTGTTTGAGCCTTTTTCGCCTAGATCGATTTGATGTGGGTAAAGTGCGGCGGAAGCCTACTGCGATAGGCGCGCAGCAAGCATTTCCCTAAACGGCTATGGGCGTGTGCTTTTGTCAGCAAGAGAACGTTTTTTTGTGGTTGACGCGGCCCGGTCAGATTCAACGCTTGCGACAAAGAAATATCTGCTGTTGATGTACAGCTGCACTTTTACTGTTATGAGCAGTGCGAAGCATTTTCGCGCCATGGAGGGCACCTCGCTCAATGGCCGTTCAGGCAATGAGCTCGGTAATGATGTTGTCGAAAACATGATGCGGTTGACCAGCCATGTCTCTTTGATAGCCGGAGCGTTCCGGCGTGTGTACGCGATGTGGTTGCTCTACGTTGTCGTTAATGGATTGAAGCCAACACGCTTCAGTATCCTCACCGATGTTGGTCAACTTCATTTGAACAGAGTTACCATTTCCAGTCCCCTCCCCCGGGCTGCCCTCAACTAGCGAACGATGCCTGGGGTATCAACAGCTTTCTCCATGTTACTCTGGCTCGCTGTCGTTAAAATGCTCCGTTACAGCCATTGCAGCCTCGAAAATTCACGACCCCCTAGACAACCCCTATTACTACTTCGCGACCGTCACGTTGCATGACGAATGGAATCCGTTTTTGACGACCTTCCTGGGAGACGACGCGGGCGAATTAGGACAAAAGAAACACAGACCAACCCATGTTCTACAAATACATAAACGACACGCGTTTACTTGTGCCGTGTGTGTTTGTCGTAGGAAAAAATCACAACCATCGAGGAGGCATCACATGGCCAAATAGGAACCAAAAATGTGTAGACCCACCAGAAATTACTCAGGCTGGGAGGAAGGAGGAAACAACGACTACGACCGCTACCGTTCCACGGTATTGTTGAAGGAAGGTTACAGCGACATCAACACAGCTACATTAATACCCAGAAGAACGTGCGAACTGAGAAACTACAGTGCCTCCGGAGGGTTTTCTGACGCCACCCAAGAGGTTCGGCACGGCCGCGCCGCACATGAAACACCTACGACGAAGACAAGCACGAACCAGAGCACCGAAACAGCCGACCACCAAGACGTGCAACGGCTAAGAAGATCAAAGGAGATCGGGTTTCAGTCTGGAAAAAGTAACCAATAATATCTCGCACGGCATTTCCTCTTTCAGGGTGCAACAGATATCGACAAAAAACACCTCCGTCGTTTCTGGTCTTCATTTTCGCGACTTGCGGTTCCGGGGTGGACAAATTTAATTCGTTTTGAGCCAACCCAAACCAGAAATAACCATCACCTATCACTGCCAAAGATGTTCGAGTAGTACAGTAGACTGTATATACATGAGTCTGCCTGCGATGGTCGGTATCATTCAACGAGTACCGCCCCGCAACGACTCCTTGTGGTCCCGGTAAGAGACATTGTGGTCCCAACTCGGGTCAATGGCACCCCGACAACAAAGGCGCTGGGAGGGCTACTAGGTAGGCAACGTCTCCTTCTTCGTTAATCCCCCCCCCCTTCCCCCCGACCTCACTGAATCGGACCCC